GGTCAGGCCTTGAGTTTTCTCCCCAATGATCACTAGTTCGAGTGAGTACCCGGCCGTAAACTGTAGGGTTCCGTGGGATTAGTCAAGGTGTGCGCAAGTTAGCCCAGACATCCCCGGTTATCGAAAAAAAAAAAAAAGTGTGCCTACATAAATGCATCTGAATATAGCCATATAGGAGTACCTTGTTGATTTATTTTCTGATAGTAAAACGATTAAGGTTTGGTAGCCATTCTTGATTTTTTTTTAAATCTAGATTATATACCTGCCGCAAAGACTTGATCATCGATTAAAGGTTTTATCCATTGAAGGTGAAGATTTTGATTTCTAAGTTTTAAGTGGTTAGGAAAGGAGTGAATTTGGAACATTTGAATTGTTTGCAGATTCATCTGTTTAATTATAGAACATGTATGAAACGGTTAGGCATTGCTTAAAGGATTCTTGTATGTAATTTGAAGAATCAATGATCCTACCATATCCAACAATCTCTTTCGAATAATGTTGAACCTATTCATGCAAACCATCCGACTATATCTATATGACGAATGTGACTTCAAAAGAATGCATGTAGCTTTATGATCACTTAGAGATTCACGCAAAGCACATGTGTATATTTCTATTACCTATAGGACCCTACGATGATTGATACCTTGTCAAATTTATTCCCCTTCTCTCGAATGTATGAAATAGATCACTACATTCACACAATCACATGAATAATGATTGTGGAAACAATAGGTGAATAAAAATCATTCAAACCTCAAAACATGTTTTAACTGTCAATAATTGTAAAACTAAAATCCAAAGTTACATAGCAAAGTTCATCGATCTCCTAGCACAAATAGATCTAGCCTAATATGGAGAAAATAAGAAAATACAAATTTGTCAAATATTGCAAAACTAGAATTTGAAGTTTACATAGCAAAGTTCATCGATCTTCTAGCATAGAAATAACAAGCCTAACATGGAGAAAAGAATAAAATACAAAAATAATGTAAGAGAAGACATCACCAAATAACAATTAAGCTTGAAAAACCAAGAATCTAATTGTTGTGCCTTGAAATCCTTGCCTCCAGATCTTCTTCAAGATGTATTCTAGGGTTCTTCTATCTCATATGGCGTGCCCCCTTTGTTCTGGACGATTTTAGGCTTAAATACGTGTACAAGATTTGTTTCCATAGGTGGTTGAGTCGAAAAAGGAAACTAAAATTCTCACGCAAAACTTCAATCATGCGGCTGCATGGTTGTGAGCCATGCGACCGCATGGTTCAATTAGGTTGGCCTCTTTTTTTTTTCCTGACTGACCATGTGCGACCGCATGGAGAGACCTCATGGTAGAAACAACTCTCCATGCGTGTTGTTTTAGCCCCCGAACTTCGTTATCTCATTTTGACATCTTTTCTTCAATTTCTTTCTTTTAACATCCTTTGCACTAATCAGATTAGAGCTTAGTCCGTTCATAATCAAACTTCATGCTTCAAGTCATCTTTCGACTATTTGCATTTTGGTCTCTGAACTTTCGTTGTCTTCCTTTTTGGTTATTTTTTGCCAATTTTCTCTTACGTTCCACCAAGTCCATCAATATAGTGCTACAAAACGAAATTAGATAAAATTAAGCCATATTCAAATGCTTGTGTCAACAATTAATCATATTATGTGGCCAAATAAGTGTTGGAAAACGCACTTATCACTCATCAAACTTTTCTTTGAATTGAGGAACTTATAATACATCATCACACTTTTAACTCGTGCAATGACCAATATTTTGCACATATTGTCAAAGACATATCCCGATCGTATTCACAGATGCCTTTGCCGTAACAGAGTGCCTGTTGAGGGGGTGAAATAGATCGATTCTCAACCAATGTCTATACGCATGAGTTTCCATCCATTTCTTCGAGAGATAAGAGAGTCGAGAGTTTTAACGATCTGTTAATGGTAACATCTCAAGGGGAATCACTGGCGTGGATATGCATTTCTCTTCAATTTTGTGTAGGCATCGTTGTGTATAACCAACACTGCTAGACCTATCATGAAAACGGCCAAGAACTTGTATTTAATGCTGCACGTCCCTTTTATGTGATTATCGTATGTAATTATTATGATTTATCTAATATTGTATTTAATGTTTAAGTAATT